GTTCATGGTCAAGTCGGTAACAAATATCGGAAGTGGTAAGCAGAATCAGCTAACATTATCTGACTTCACGCTGCAAACAGCCCTACTCCTCCTCCAAGTCTTTCTGCCTCCCTTTGGCACAAAGTAGATCCTTGCGGATGTATGGACAGTACTGTTCCGCTCGCGAGTGCTAACCCATGACGCTAGATAATCCGGCTAGAGACTATTAATTTTAAGTTTCACTCGCCATAGTATCCTTTACCACCACCTCCACCGAAATTTTCGAGGGATGATCACAAATGACTGAGGTATTTTCTATCATACACCATCTGGCATCGAGCTAGACATGTCACAAATTTCCTAAAGTTATACCCCAACAGATAAGGGCGGAGAAAAAAAGGAAGAAAATAAAGAAAAACCATGGCCCATGTAAATTAGGTGCAAACAGAATATCCGGTCCCATTACTCCCATAAGGGCATACCGGCATACCAGCGCGCCCCCAACAATCGCTCAAAGCCAAACCAACGAGGAAGGAGCAAATCTTGCGCTAAACAACAACCCCGTGCAACCCCCTGAAAAATATTCCGAAATTTCCATTCCCATTTGGTCCCTTATTCTCCTCGTCCTTCTCTGTATCCAGCACCGCAAATACTATTTCCCTCCACCAGCCTCCTGCAAACTCTGGTTCCCTGAAGACCCTAAGAAAGCATTCCACGACCTTCTCAGGTGGGTTGTGGAAAGCCCCGCATCCCAACGCACCGAGCACAACCTTGCTATGCCCGTTCATGGCAGCGATGCGCAATATCAAGCGGATCTTCTCGAGCATGAGATTTCGGTCTGTGGGACGACTGTAGTCCGGCGGCGCACCGTTTGTGAGAGGAGGGTCACGAATCGCGGCTACGGAGATTACAGAGAGGATTTTGTACTTGATGCTAGGTGGGTAGAGTTTATGGCCGTCTGAATGGGAAGTGCGGAAGACTACAACTGCTGGCGTGTAGATCCCTGCGGTGTCTGAGAGGGGGTAGAAGGCGCGATGGAGTTTGAAGCTAAGGGTTGAGCTGTAGCAAATCATCAGCTATAGTTGCAGTGGTGGGAATAAAGCTTGTATGATGGAGGGAAATGCCGGTAGCATAATTCCTCCTCCTGTGCCATTGCACCCCTTTTCCACCCTCCTCCGGCAACTTGCGCATTTGCCATGTTTAGAACGACTACGTTCCTACCCATCGTTATCGCTGTGTCGAAAGTGTCCCCATCGATGACTTTGATCCGGCAACCTCTTCTTCCAGCTTCCGGGTCGAGGTCCGGTAACATAAACCCCGAACAAACTATTCCCGCAAGAGAAAGTTCCCCTCCCAAATATAATGACGACTTTTGCTGCGCCGCAGGAAATTTAGCAAGTATACTAGGTATGAAGTCCCTATACACCCCCCACCCTTTGTCAGTAAGCTAGCATTCGCAAAGGTAATACAAATTGACACACACGTCGTCTCCTGCGCAACCTCCACCCTCTTCTGATTATACCTCGCATTTTGCGGCTTCAATTTCCCGAGCGATTGCTGCGAATGAAATTCTCCAGATTGGGATTCTGATTCAATATCCATTTCTTGAGAGCCAGTTCCTTGAGACTGAGATTCTAGATCCGAAGTTCCAAATTCCTTGTGCTCCGTCGAATCCTCTCTGATGTACCTCCTCCCGAATGTCCCGGGCGTGGAGTCTGCGCGCCGATTTTGTGGGCCCGAGGATAACGATGACGACGGTGGGGCAGGGCCTTTAACGTAAAAATTTAACTTGGTCTGGACGAGCTTCTTACCGCTAGCATTTTTGCCCGAGTTTTTCTGTCGGGGCGTTGATGGCATAGTGAATAGGCTGTTATGTAAGCTGATCTCAAGCCGTGTTTTCAAGGAATCAGGCCTCGAAACCGATGAAATTTGTCCCTGCCGGCGCTTGTTGGCAGTCGAGGTATCGAGATGAGCAACCCTGGTTGGAAGCGGGGGCGCTGAGAATATTTGGGGCTCTCATAGGCTTTCGCGTTGAAGTGTTAGTCAAGGTGTCGTTTTGGAATAATGGAATAAAGATGGCGTGAAGTTGCTGCCAAGTGCTTATCTCATCATACCGTCTTACAAAATTCATGAGTCATCACGATAAGCAATAATTTATGATTGCTAAAAAAAGGAACAAAGAGGATCCATTATCATTGCTCCCCGCTACCTTGGATCCTAATCACAAGACCTCCCTTAAAGTTGGTCCAATCACGACCGGTCTGTACCTACATAGTACAAGTATTTGCCGTGTTGGCATCTTGTCTCTGAAACAGACACCGATATGAGATCGAGAGAGCACGGCAAGCCTATATGGCAGAAGCCATGTAACTACTTGAATTGCCAAACACAGAACCGAGAAACCCCTAGGAAGCTCATGCATCCATAATAGTATGATAGTAAAATGAAAATACGCTATCAGGTCGAGTTATTGATGTGTAAAACCTGAGAAAAACCTGAACCACTCCGCAAAAAATCACTAGCCATTGGGTTGTTGTATCGCTTACCGAAAATTAAAAGGTAGTACCTTCGGGGGGCTGATGGACCTTTCTGTTATTCGGGCTGGCCATGTGTCTAGAAGTTACAAAACCCCCGTAAGCACAGAAACCAATCCATTCCATCTACATTCAAGAAAAGCTTACTCCCTCAAAGCCACAAGGATTTTCTCCATAGTGTTATCCCTGTTCCATTGGCTCACACGACCCAGTTTGAGTAGGTCGACCTGTTCGAGAGCATGAGTTAGTAATGAAATCTCGTTGCCACTCAGGTTAATACCAACCTTGCCATTATTAGGATCAACACCGGGAAGATTGATTTTAGATATAAAGTGGACCACCGGGGGTTCGTCTGGGTAGGAATCTCCACAGTGTATTTTCAAACTGTAAATGCGGTTCTCGTGGGTGCTCTGTGAATTTTTGAGTAAGCTTGCTGTTGATGACGCGCGCCGAGGAACCTCACGTGGGGAGGTCCCAGAATGGTAGCATTCCAGTTAGACATCATCACGTCGTCTCCATCCTGTAGACCATAAGAGCAACCATCTTAACATTAAAGAAACACAATGTCAGTCTTATATCGACTTTAGGGGTGGGGGGGGAACAGTGAGAGCAAGCTGACCAGCACCCAACCCTTTCTCGCCCTTCTCTAGCTCTTCGAGCAAGCGAAAGTTCCTAGGAACTTTAGCGACCATCTTAACTAAAAGAGTTGGTAAAGTTTCGGGAGGCGGTTTTTCGTTAGGATGAGTTCCCTTGAAAAGCAAATGGCAAATTGCCTGGTGTTGTCCAAAGTCAGGAATAAGGTGGGGTTTGTCGGTGGAGACACGAGGGGAAGATAGGTAGGCGAGATTTTAAACCGGCCTAGAGTTGTCCAGTGGCTTTGGTAGCATGATACTGTGGCTAGCCCATAAGGCACAGCCACATCCTCCCATTACTAATCCTCCCTCATTCTCAGGATTAATTTTCAGCCGAGGTCCCTGTCCGTCGGTTAACAGATATAATAGCAGAAATTTCATCTAAATCGATCCTGTTCTCTCTAATAACACGGGAATACTGCACTCTTGTAACAAATTAAATTGGTCCTTTGAAGAATTGTTCTTGAGAAAGAACCTCGGGGAGCCACCTTAGCTCTGTGCCAAGACATCTTTGAGGTCCACCAGACCGAAAAGGAAATTGAATGGCTTGAGCCGGATCCCTCCCTGCAGTTCTACTTGTAAGCGGCTCTCCCGAAACACCCTGACAGCTACGTAACGAACCAGGTAGGGTGCTGATGACTGTGAAGATTCACTAAAACCTCCAGAAGAGTATTGAGTACCCGACCCAATGCTTTATACCCCCTTTGCCATTTCAGAATTACTTAATCGTCTTGGTCCCCTAGATTGCGACTTCCTATCAATTCTTAAGAGTCGACAGTACCGGTAGCTTCAGTTTCGAACCCCCCCTCTACCCCCGGCTTGAGGATGACCGCCCAATTCCTCACGAATGAGCTCACCAACCTGGTTCAAGAAGCGAAGCGGAAGAACTCGGATCTTAGACATGTCAGTTTCTCCAGCCTAGGGCAATCGCCGCACCTGCCATGGCAATACTAAGGCGTTCCCCTTTAGGCGGCCGAAAAATCTCTCGCAGATCTAAAGTCGATAGGGTCAGCTACGGATGTCGTTATTGGTACGCTACTTATTCCCGGGAATTCGCGGTCTTAAGAGCTAATGAGCTACTTCAGAGCTTTCGGGGAGACCGCAGTTCATACACCCGTTTCTCATCGCCTGCAGCACCCGGAATGCGAAATTTAGCACTATCGGCGTGGTTTGTTTGCAACGGTTGATTGTCTCGCAGGGGCTGGCAAAGGTTTGTCGGCAGTGGGGAATCTTGAACTTCGATTTAGCTGACTTCTAGAAGACCAAGTTAAAGGAGGTCCTGGAAGCCTTCAGGGAAGCCGCTAATTTAGGTTTGTGATGAATTTAGTGTCTGTACCCAACATTGAGAGATATCCTGACTAATCTGAGTATAGGAGTTGAAATCCAGCTTAAGATACTGCAAGCGCTACCTCCGCTTCTACAGAATTATGCCGAGGATTTGAAAGGAAACCTGTTGGGCGAGGCCCTACTAATATGCTCAATGTTACAAGGTAGTAAAATGGGCGTAGTGAACAATACTGCTGCCGCAAGTACGTTATTCTGGTTTCTCTGGTTTCGCGTTCTCGGTATTCGACTAAGTTGGCATTATTCTAGCCTTGAGTCAAATTGTTATTTCAATCTTTGACAAAGTAGTAACCGAAGATGGTATGGAAACAGCTCACCTTCGAATTGCCGAATTAGTCGGTGCAAACTAACAGCCACAGAGAGAGCGCTGGAGGTCCCTACAGTGGGCGAAGGCCCTTCGGAATCCGGAACTATACCACTCCGAGCTGCGGCACTCGATGCTTACCGAGTGTTTTTTGATATTTGTCTTCTTACCGAAGGACAAAGGCCACAATTCCTTCGGTTTTCAGTCTTGCCACAGCCGTTTGGGCTCGAGCTAATAGAGTCTGTTTTGACAAATCACCCTGACATATTTCTTACTCACCCTGAGCAAGCCTATGTCTTAAAGACCAGAGTAGCTCCATTGATAATGCGATCACTTTCTGACCGGCTCAATTTTCCAACCACAGTACGTATAACACGTGTGTTATACATACTGCTCCGACGTCACCTTTCAATTCTATCAGAAGAATGTGAGGTTGCGCTGAGCATTTTGACCCACACACTTGATCCAGAAGCATCAGCTTCATGGAAGAGAGCATTGTGTATGGAGGTATTTCGAGGAATTTGCGCGGAACCAGGCCTTATCCGCAAGATTTTCGCAGGATATGACGCTAAGGAAGGAAAAAAGCCCATAATGAAGGATTTGATGGGTGCTCTCACAAGATTAGCCACCGAAAAGCCCAGTGTCATAGGACTAGGCACGCAATCCTCTGCACCTGTGAGCCAGGCCGCGCCAAATGATTCCTCAGGCGAACAAGCCGCATTGGAAGCCGGGGGTGTTGCCGGAATTATTGGTGGAGCTGTAGGATTGAGTGAGGTAAACGTGGTTGGGCTCAGTACCCAGTGGAGCTTGGTGAGGGTACCGTGTATTGACCAACTAGACAAGAGCGAGCCCCCAGCAATGCCTGAATCGTACATATATTGTCTGACACTCACCTGTATAAACAGTTTTTGTGAGGGGTTGGCAAAATTTATCCTTCCGTTATCGATGACTGGTGACGCCACAAAGGGAGCGAAGCGAAGAACACCGGCCCGAGTAGCGCCCGTGGGAATAGTGCGGATGAATAGTGTATTAGGGAGCGATAGTGAATCTGGCCCTACCGCAAGATCGGAGTCACCAGTGCGGACCCCATCACCCACTAAGGGCAGTCTTCGCAGAAAATCAACCATGAAGCAACACCGAATACCTGTCAATCCGCTGAGCATGGAAGGCCATCCTCTTTACAACGAGATCGTTATATCCGCAGCAATAATGGAGTCGTGTTGGCCCGCTGTCCTGGCAGCCTGCTCGACATTTCTCTATGCTACACTTGATAATGAATTCTACCATGGCCTTGTGAGATCATTCCAAAAGTTCACACACGTCGCTGGGCTATTACGTCTCACAACCCCTAGAGATGCATTTTTGACGACTCTTGGGAAGGCTGCGGTTCCGTCAAATGTCTTATCAGCGAACATCTCAGCTTCTCCTATGGCGTCTGACAACCAGAGTCTGTTCTCAAACGCAAAAGGCCTTTTGAGTGTGGATAGCTTAAATAGTTCCGAGCGCCTAACTACTGGTGGAACTGAGCACCACCCTCCATCCCTTAATAGCCGCAATTTGCTCTGTCTCAGGGCCCTGCTCAATCTCGGGATTGCCTTAGGCCCAACATTGGAAAAGTCATGGACCATAGTTTTGGAAACGCTTCAGCAGGCAGACTACGTTCTTTTTGCGTCTTCTAGGAAGACAGGAAGACAAATTTCGTTGAACGCGTCTACGGCAAGATCTGACTCGCAAAAAGGGGCAGATGCAGGCAATCCCCTAGTTAATATTGGGCCCGAATTGTCTGCCGTTGAAACCGCTGCAATGAAGATGTTTGAAGGAACAAGGGATTTTCCCGACAATGCTTTCGCTGCAGTGCTCTCGGCATTATGCAAACTCTCCGATGGGGATGGGGAGACCAATAGTCGGACATCAATTGATAAGTCAACTAGTCCCCAGAGATCTCCTCGGTCACCAACTTTTAGTCACAAACACACGTCCAGTGTCCCAAGTCTTTCAACTTCACAAGTGATTGGAGATAACGCATTTGCGCTCGCAAAGCTAGGTGAACTAGCTCAGATAAATATGAGCCGATTGATTGGGCCAAATCCAAATTCCACTGGGTGGGATATGCTTGCGAACCATTTAGCTACTATAGCTAGCTCTAGGGATAGGGGGAACTCAATACGCATGAAGGCTGCTGAAGTTTTGAATGAAGTTGTGGTTTCGGCCGCAAAGGCTATTATAACGGAGAGCACGGAAAATGTGGCGGAGGTTCAAAAACGTATCCTTTCCGCATTACGGGAGGGGATAACAGATGGCAAAGTCTCTGGGGCTCCAGACTCGGTAACTAGAGCGACAGAGTTAGAGGTACATCGTGCAGGTTTGGAAGCATTGAACGCCATATTAGAGCATTCCGGGCAGTCACTAATAGCGGGATGGGAGATTGTGTTTGATATCATAATGAGCGTATTTGATACTACCATGATTTGGCGACGGGACGCGACGATTCCAGAGGCACCAGCTGAAGTCACGAAGTCTACCAGGTCTCCTAAGCTGATCCGGAGCTCATTTAGTTCCTTAGAATTAATTTGTTCTGATTTCCTGGCGAGTTTGCCAACACCTTGCGTTTTGGTTTTAATAGATGCATTGTTTGCGTTTTGTGGGCAGGCAGATGACCTGAATATCTCTTTGACGGTATTTATTCTTTGACCGGTAATAGATATCTCGTTTGCTGATTTTGGTGTAGACTATTACTTTCTTTTGGAATGTTTCAGACTTCCTACAGACTAAGGGAGAGTCCTCACTCTCGGGCGAATTTGTATCTTCTAAGGCGCAGAGCGAAACGGACCTATTAGGTATGGTGGAGCAGACAGATGTGGATTCCCACCCTGCCCTTTGGATGCTGCTTTTACTTCGTTTGACAGGAGTCAGTAAGGATCAAAGAGCCGAAGTGAGGAATGGTGAGTATATATGTTTTGATCGCCGGGAGCTGTAGCTTATCGTCAATTTATTTCCCAGGTTCTGTTCAGACCTTGTTCCGGATATTCGACACTTATGGACACCAGCTTGGCCCGCAAGCGTGGTCCTCATGCCTAAAAATTGTGGTTTTCAAAATGATGAATATCGCCCCCAGTGATGAGGAGAGTGATGTTCCAAAAGTGCGTGCTGCTGAACGAAAGCAGTGGGACGATACCATCAATCTGGTTCTGAATGGGATTGGCACACTATACTCAAACTACTTTGAAGTTTTTGTTAAACAGTCGGAATTCCGCAGCACTTGGAATGCCTTTACCCGTTACCTAGAAGCCCTGTTAGAAAGGCGGAGTTTTGAGGTTAATACAACTGTATTTATGGTTTTAAAACATGTCCTGGAAAAGGTTGATAGACCGGACAATCTCGACCAATCTTCAACGGATGATGTGTGGAAGATGTGGTCAGGACAGGGCGTCAAACTGGTGGAAGGAAACACCGAGGTCTCTCGGGCCGGGATTCAGGAGACGCTCTTGGCATATGTCGACTCCTTCAAACCACTTTACAGATTACTCGAACCGATAGTAAACGCCGATATGGTGGAGAAAACACTGATCCTGTTGTGGGAATGCATCACCTTCCCGGATGCACCGGCGTATTTCCAGGACATTGACATCCTGACCCCGCTACAGGCGGCCATCTTAGAAGTCACCCAGATGATTCGAACAGATATCCCCGGCATCCCATCCCTAGTATTGAAACAAGTCGCGGACTTCAGTACGATCGCCTACCGGCCACCTCATACCTCGCAATCCACAAAAGTCCGGATTCCAACTTACATTGCACTAGCAACCCAATCAATGAAGATTTTAGAAACCGTCAGCTTCCGCCACGTGGAGAACAGCGAAATCTACACAACGGGTTCCCTATCATCCGTCCTGTCCGCTCTTAAGCTCCCCATTTCGCTAAAGTACGACTTCACCGGTGCAGCCTTACCAGCAACGGCGAAGCGCCCGTCGCAATGGATCCCAGCGACTAAAGTAGTCCTGTCAATAATTACCAAAGCTCTCCCGGCAATCAGCAAACTGGACATTGGCGAAGTCCATCAGAAAGAGGTATGGAAGCTGATAGTCGAGATAATTGGCAGTGTTGTCTCGGCAAATACTACGAATATCGACGAAGCGACACTGATATCCGACGAAACCTTCGACATATCATCCTTCGAGGAATTTCGGGGCTTGATAATCCCCCCGCTAGGCCATGCTATTGTCCCAGACGAGGTGGTGCAGGCGTACGTGAAGAGCATATTCAAGTCTTCGATCCTTTATGATATTGTGGAACTGGAGCATCCGACGTCGATGGATGTAAGTTTGTCTTCGCTTTCTATACGCAAACATGGGAAAACTAGCGAATTGGAATTGGTCAGGAGGTCTCGGATGAGCTACGCCTGCCTTGACGAATTATTTGCCTTAGCGGCTGCGAATGATTCCGGTATTCACCCAACCTATCCACATTTTTAGGGATATCACTGATAAGGATGATAGATTCAAAAGAACTCCAACGCCTCACGGCAGCCGTTGCTCCCTATCTGGTTTTGCGGGCTGGACGTGTTTTGCAGCGTTATATTTCGGTAATTAAACCCCCTCCCTGGGCATCCTTTATAGAAAATCTGACCAAAATGGAAAAACAGGACCAACCCCTTCGCGGCCGTATGCCTCAACCCGTATGTCAACGCAAAGAAATGATATACGTGCTCAAGTGTCTAGTCAATTTAGAGTCTAGAGTGAAGACGGTTTCTACTGATTGTGAGCCCTCTTCCTTCCCTCCTCCCACCACCAGAAGAAGGGCGACTGATAAAGAAGTAGCGGGACATATACCCCTCTCCGGAAAGAGGCACACCTCCAGGCTGTTCCCGCTGCTTAGTCAGTGCGTTGCAGCAGCGCAAGGGGACCAGGAGGTTTTGGGGTGGTTGGCGAAGGTTATGGATGAGATTGGGGGTGCGTTAGGAGTTTTGTAGGTATTTCGGAAGAGCGTGTATGGCAGAAGTATGATAGTTGGCGGGCGGTAAATACCCCGGTTGAATATCTTTTTCTCTCTTTCCCATTCCTCCTTTCTTACAAGATCTTATAACCGAGTGATGCAATCCGTTGTATATTTTGAAGTTCAAACTAAAACTATGCTAAGATCCGTGAAATTTTTTTCTTTATAAAAAAGTGTAACTATATTGTACAGTACAATGTTACGAAATTCCTTATCCCACTCGGTCTAATTCAACACACGCAGCCCATTCATTCACTCATATTTTCATCCACGCATCACTTCATCTCATATTCTCATCGTCGGACTATCCATCATATCGAAGACTCCTAATGCAACTTATCCTTATCAGGGGCTATACCACCCATTTCTATATCCGTCTTTCGCTTCTTCTCCACTTTCCGCCATTTCTGTGCGCTTGTTAGCCCCGCTTGAGACAAATAGCATGGGGAGAGGAAGGGGGAAAACAAACTTTGATGTTCTTGACGATTATCCATATTACGAGCACAAGGCCCAATGCTGCCCCACTAAGGACTAGGTACCACCACCAGCTGGGGTTGTTATCTAAGAGGTTTACGTTCATTCCGAGTAAACTCTATTTGGGGGAGGGGGGGGTTAGTTTGGTGTATCATATTATAGTAAGTGGGTGGGCTTACGGCAATGAAGGTCAATGGGAGAAATATAAACTAGCCAAAGTTAGTTTTCCTAGCTCGATTAAGGAACGAGGGGGAGGCCCGGAAATACCGTAATCCAGCTCAACCGCTTCATACTATGCGTTTCGTATATCGATGCCAGATTGAATTGCTACAATAGCCAAGATTAACCGCGTACGCTCTCCTCCAGAACATAGAGTAACATAACCCACCAATTGGATCATAGTCTTGGTATCCTCTTCCAAGGCATTGATCCTCGACGAGCGATTCTTCAAATCCTTGATCGCCTTACGCAACTGCTTGCCCGCAAGCCAGGAATTCGGCTTAGGCAGCGTATTGACATCAAAGTACTCTACAACCCTTGGCGATTCCAAAGGGAGCCCGGAATCCCGGATGGATATTTTAGGGATCTCGCCCCTATATTCGTAGATTCCCACTTCCTCCCGTAAGAAGTCCTCACTCTCATACAGTTTTAGGAATTCCGACGCGATCTGGATGTGCTCCTGCAACAGCTTGCGCAGCATGATCCAATTTTGGGCGTCCTTGAGCAGGGGTTTTATGAGGTCGTTTGTCTCGCCTCCGCTTTTCAGTAGGTTTTTGCGCTAGTGGGAGAAAGAAACACGGTATGTGTTTTAGCGGGTATCCTAGGATAACATTTGTCGCTATGCCGGCAGCCATGGAGTACCATC